TGAATTTAAAAAAGCAGTTCGGGCCATGAACCTAACAGATGTGTTGGATGGAAGATGCAGCTGCTATGCTTACTCAACATAATAATAATACAACCAATTTAAGTAATGTTGAACTTATTTTTTAACTAATTAGACCTATAAAACATATTTTTAATTATTAACTACCTATATATTTTATATAATATTAGCATTTTATATTTTATATCTGTATTTATGTTAGTGTCCCCAATTAGTTATCTTTAGCCAAATACTCCGACACTCAAATAAAGTTTATGTATGTAGGCATGTATGTATGTATGTGCACAACCAACGTGATTTTAGTGCGGAATAAAGAAGCCGACAAACAGTCAAACGAAGTGTACGAGCAACGTCTTGCAACATTTTCTGAGGAAGGGGATCTCATCCTTGACATTGGCAGTGGAAATGGTAAAGAAGGTTTTTGTTTTATTGTGTGGCAACCACTATACCCCCTGAAAACTGTGTATTGACTGCCAATTCTTCGATTTGGCATTAAGCACAGGCAAATAGTCACAAGAATGTCCTTGAAATTGTACTATTTTGAAAGGAGGCAAAGTATTGGTCGCAAGCATGTGTTATGGAACCCAACAACAACCATGAATTCTTGCATTACTTGATATTTGACTTAAAAGGTAGCAAAATCATTGTTTCTCATTATCCCAATCTCAGAAAATGGATTGCTGGCTGGATTAAGCATGAAAAGGCCATCAGTTTACATCGACCAGTGGACAGATGAAAATGCTCAGTGGCATCTCCTAGAGGATATCAAAGAGCAGTTGCAAGTCAATGATGTTTCCCAGTAACTGCGGCTTTCGCAGTTTGGTTTTATGCTCTGCTCAGTATTCTTTATCTATGAGAAGTTTTTCAAGGGCACCAAAAGAATCATTAATCAGTGAAAAATATGTTCAGACGGCCTTAGCCACTTGAGAATCCGGGTTGACTTCCATGAAAACAAATAGATTTACTCAATTAAATGCTGTGTCAAACTTTCTGCTTTTAGAAAGCTTCGTGTAAATAATTATGTTATGATATGGTGTATTTTGTATAGCCTGCTTAGAAGCCATTAGACAGTAATGAAACTATCTGGGAAAGTAAGAACCAGCCTTGATAACAAATGTTCCTCGTTGGGTGCCCCTGAGTTCTTGTTTGTCTGAACCTGTTAACAGCCAACTTTGTAAACTGCTATATAATTGTCCTTAAAAATAGGTTCACGTGTATATGCTTGTAGGAAAGCTTCAGTCGTGTGATGTGCTATTTTATTTAACTGTTTTGGTGGTCAGATGTATTGATCTTTACAAATAGGATTTATTTTGCAAAATGAGTCATCGAGGCCTCACACTGTAATACTTTTCTTGCTTGAGTTATGGGGAATATACCTTTGTCACACAGCAGCCATGTTTAGCCCCAGGAGAATAACAGACTTTGGTTTGAGACGTCTGGCCTCCAATTGACTGTACAGCTGCACTGGAATTATTTGTAGCCACCACTGGTTGAACTGATTATGCTCATTCAAGGGATGGGGAGATCAAGCATTTTTTTCTGCAGGGTGGGGAATTATAACAGATAACTATTTTTGATCTGTTAAGTGATGGATGGAAGAGAATATAAATCGTATTCCAATTATAAGTCATAAGACGTTGACGATCTTTTAAGTTACTTGCTATTTCTGTCCTTTCACCTGATAAGGGGGTGGGGGATCAGAAATTCTGAATCCCTTTTAAGAGTTATAGGTAGATGACCGTTTTGTTCTGATAAGTCAATGGGGGATCAGAAGTTTTGAAACCCTTAAAGTCACGTGGGTTCAGAAATTCTGAATTGTTGTAGAATTATAAATAGAAAGCTCTATATATCATGTTAACAGATTTGGTGGGGGAGGGGGATCAGAAATTCTCAATACTTTTAGAACCATGAACGGATAGCCGTTTTTGTCCTGTGTGGTGATGGGGATCAGAAATTCTGAATGCATTTAGAATTATAAATAGATGACTGTTTTGCTCTGATGGGATGTGGACTGGGGGGATCAGAAATTCTGAATCCTTTTTTAATTATAGATAGATGACCGATTTGTTCTGATAAGTTGTAGGCCGGGGGATCAGAAAATCTGAATCTCTCAAAGAAGGAAAGCGCGATGGGTGCACGATCGTTTTTACATACACCATCTTTTTCACATTAAATTGTACATTTTGGTAAAATTGGATGTAGTGTCCCTGGCGGACTCAACTGAACACTTCTCTTTCTCCTTCCAATTAGCAAAAACCTTTCGGAAACACAAACTTTTTCAGCATCAAATACCAGTACTGTTCGGAATTTTTCTAAATTGGAATGCCACATTTTAGTTTGGAAGGCGTTTAAGACTAATTAAAGCAAATGTCCCAACATAAAGCTTAAAAAATTGTTCATTTCAAACATGACTTCTCCAATTTTAACTTACGCCTGATAGCAGATTTTGTTTTACATTATTTATAATGTGCCTTAGAGTGTCAAAATGTGACTTTTTCAGAACTGACAGCTAGGTGACGTCAAAGAAGAAAAGCTCGCGGTTTACGGAGCAAATGAATGAGATGCTCATTGATAGTTACTCCAAATACCACGTTAGAGCACATAACAGTTACTAATATACAGATTTAACCCAGCCTTAAAGCGTAGCTCCTGGGCCGGGTTGTTCAGAGCCCGATTAAGCTAACCCAGCAAAAGGTAGAATTTTGATTTGAGTTTTGTAACTTTGCGGTGACGTTTTCTGTATATTGTTTGGCCTTCTATTTTGAGTTTTAATTTTCCCTATATGCACAAAACAAAGCAGCAAAAAACATTTGTATAAAAGAAAAGGTAGTAATTCGGTTAACGTTTAATCATGGGTTAGCGTTTACCGGCTTCCGAACAATTCTGCCCTGTTTTCAACAAGTTAACCTGACATGAGCCCGCAACTCAATCGAAAAACAGCACTTGATCAGCGGGCAACTTCAAAAAACACGTGACGTCGATGAGCTGCAAACTTGAGCCCGCAATATGGTCACGTGATACTGGTCAGCGGATACCTTGTTTTGACAGGTGTCAATTGATCATAACATGGATGTCCAATGTCAACGAAGCACACGGTAAACCAAGGCTACATGTCTGTATTTGGTATGGCCGCCATGTTGCGCGACTTCGTCGTCGCCGTCGTGCGCACGCGCCCACGAGCAATACCGCTAGCCGTGAAAACCATGAGAAAATCAACTCATGGGTTTCCTTTTCTTTCCTATATGAGTATGAGGCTCCGCTTGGCGGCCCTTCGGGCCGCCAGAGCTCCGCTACAATTATCAGTTGCGTAAGCTGCGACAGAGTTTTGGCGACAAAGTTTTGGACTTAAAATTACGGTGTTGCTACGGGCAACTTTCCTCCTTTCCAATGGCGACAATATCATTGCCCACAATTTTGAGCGCTTTCCTGCCATTGATACCAAAGGACGACAAGCTGCCACTGGAAACAGAGCCAGTTGCCCAAGACAACAACAAAAGTTGAAAATTAAAGCCTCAGGTCGCCAAACTTTCGTTGCACTTGACTCGACTGATAATCGTAGTAAATTTAAAATTTAATTCTTTGTATTTGCACACTGATATGTTTGTAAAACTTGTCTAATAACTTTGTACGTACAAGTCTGAAATTAAGTTTATGCCTTTTACTCAGAATTTAATTCAGTATATAAGAAAAAAGAAACTTACATTTATTTTATATTTTACTTCAAAGGTGAAGAAACGCTGGGAAGATATAACAATGTCACCGAAGAAAAAGGAGAGGACAGCGAGGCATAATGAAATTAAAAGAGTAAAAATCACTGGAAATGGCAAGTTGCCGGATGACCAGGTAATATTTACAGTTTAACACAGGCAATGTTATCCCTGACATCTGGCAGCTCCAATAAATGTATTTATTTTTTCTTAAAAGTAATTATTGTAATGCTTATGATAAATTGGTAACAGGAATTTGTATCATCCAATTCAGTCTGTTATCATACTCGAGATAAACAAAATCGGACTCCGCTCCACTTGGTCTTATTTCTATTATATACATGACTGAATTTATGAAAATCACGTTAAGACTTCGCACCAAAACAGCCATATATGCATTTTGATTTCACAACTCCAAAAGGCCTTAAAGATGGGAAAAAAAGAGATAGAAGAGCAAGGAAAGGAAGATAGGAGAGTGGAGGGAAAAAAAAAGACTGACATTCCTTTTAATTTTTGTATCGTCTACTCTGGCGAAGAAAAAACACTTGATTTCTTTGACACTATATACATTTCGCCGATAAAAATAAAATATAAAACTTTAAGGCAAAAAGCTGTTAAAATTATGAGTCTAAACGTTTTCAATCTGTTTGATCATCATCAGAGTGAAATAATATGCATACGCTCAGTGTTCTTATAGTTCAGGTAATGCCAGTTATGTGATACCTGTTCCCATGGGGAACAAGGTGAGGTCCAGTGATTGGACTTGTTTGTTTAGTTCTGGACGGAAGCGTGCGATGTAGAACGCTTCTTTTATTCTCCTTTTTAACCATGAATGGGCAGTGGTTAAAACTTCCCACGT